GAGAGGGAAAGAACGTAGGAAAGGAAATTTGGGGAAAAAATAGAGGTAAAACATTTGTGGGACACAGATACAGTTTATTATTTGTTGATGAGGACGTATATAGTATTCTCAACAGGGCTGGACTGAGGTGTATAACATGCTGGGTAAAGTCTCTTTATAATCTGACTGATGTATAGCAATTAAATGTATAAATAATAATAAAGTATAGCTTTAAAAAAAGCTCTCAAAAATAAATAACTAACAGTTGTATCAGATACCCAGTTTCTTCCATTTGTACAAGAGTGAAATGAGTATTTCTTTCTGTTTTGTAAAACATTAGTTTTTGAGTTTATTTTCCCATCCCCTTTTAAACTGAAAAATCCACTTGGTTTTAAAAAAGAAAAACTGAGGGTTAGATGGTAGCACAGCAGTAAAATGTGATATACTGCAAGGATCTCCCACGTGGGAAGGTTCTGGTTCAAGTCCTTAGACCTCCCTGAATATGCAGGGCATACACTTTCCCATGAGCTAGAGCTAGCTGAAGCTGGGATTGAATTGTGATGTCAAGATCCTATGGAGGGTGTCGTTCTTCCTCTGTCTGTTTCCGACTCTCTTGCTCATGGAAGAAATAATGAAAGAATCTTAAAAAAGTTCTTATACCAATTAAAATAAAACCTTACCTTTATATCTTTACCCACCAGTTGGCTATTACTTCTAGATAGCATGTACCTGTAGAGGTTCTGATAGAAGCCATACAATTTGTAGTACATATACACATTACCCTGTATGGGAGAACAAAAAAGTAAGAATAGACTAAAAAAATTAACTGAAACATTAATAAGATCAGAAATTTTAAAAATCAAAGTACAGAAAAACTGCTGGGTCCAGGACTCAAACCATGGTTGACTACATGGGAGTTCAGCAATGTAACGCTTACATCATCTGCTGGTCCCAGGGTATAACTTTCATTAAGTGCTTCCCATGCGTTAGGTGCTATGTTCAGTGCTAGAAATATGAAAACATTCCTTTACAATTCCCAAGTCTGTTGATTCTTATAACCTATGTAGAAATAGCATTTTGGAAGGTTTTGACTTTGTTTCCCAAGGACCTAAAGAAAAATGACAACAGAAAATGAAATCTGGTACCCAGTAAACTGGGAAGAAAAGATATGGCAAATTTGGTGAGTTACAGAAAATAATAAAGGCTAAAGAGCTTAGTGGCTTGTAAGAGAATTATCTCTGGAACACTAAAAAAGAGATGCTGGGCCTTGACAAAAAGGCAACTTCAACATAATCAGAGCTTCAGCCTGAAGACAAACATTCAGGCTCAGGGGACAACTGATTGCATTTCCTCACCCAATGAGGGAAACTCTATTGTTGACCCAGAACTATAGAAAACCTGTAATCCACAGGATGGAATTTACCATACATTTCTCAGAACTAATCAGTTGTATGTCCATAAACAGGGCAAAATAAAGACGCAGAAAACACTAAGGACTGGGGTGTGCTAATAACCTCTCTTCAATGATTCTTTGTCTAAGATTAGTTTAACAAGGCTCCCAAGCCTCCTCTTTCTGATTATTCCTGAGGGTATAATTCACTTTACAGTGTTTCTTCTCTTTGAATCCAGTGGCACTTTGTTCAGGATTCTTTGTTTAAGACAGATTCTCTGGAGGATTCATTGTCTAGGTTCCAGCCTGGGTAATGTGTGGTAACTAGTGAGCTGAAGGCCCTGTGATTGCCCTAAGTAGTTTGGTTGGCTTTTTATGAGAAGCCCTTGTCTGAAAGGAATGGTTAGCAGCTGGTAACACTTCATTTGCCTTTAGGGATTCTAAGGACACAGACAGAAGGGAATTTAAGCCCTTTAAGGTTTTACCTTTTGGATTTTTTTCTAAAAGTTTAAGAACTCTAAGCTCTCAAGAAAGAAGAAGAGGAGGAGGGAAGCAGGGAATGAGAGGAAGGAAAAAAGAAAAGAAGAAAGAACATGAGGGCAAAAAAAAAAAAAAAAAGAGGGGGAAGGGAAGGAAGGAGGAAGGTCTTAGTACATTTTTAAAAGTTTCAGCAACTGGGACCAGTAGTTAGCGTAATGGCTACGTCACTGAACTCCCATGTAGTTGACCGTGGTTCGAGTCCCTAGACCTGGTGGCTTAAACTCAGGCCAGACGAATGTGCGTGTGTGCCCAAGATCCCAAGAGGAGAATGGAGAAGGGATTGCGGCACGGCCATACCCCCTGAAGGGTGATTTCTCGCTTTCTGTCTCTGTCTTTCTGGCGAGCATGCGCGCCCTATAGCAAAACCTCTCAAAAAAAAAAAAAAAGTTTCAGCAACTTACCTCCATACTTGCCAGGTTGACAGTTAAGGCTGAAGAGTATTTTCAGTGGTTTGTTTTCAACATTTCTTCTTTTGACAGCATGGTAGACTGAACAATGATCCTCCTAAGATGTCTACGTTCTAATCCCCAAAACTTGTGAATATATTACTGTGGTAGGCAGTGAGTTAGCCATGAGCAGGCAGCCCTAAGAGAAGAGCGAAAGGCTCACCTAGCCCTGGGCACCAGCAGGGTGAGGCAATTTGCTACCTTCCTTCCTTGGGGCCTGAGGGAAGCATACAGGGATAATTCGTAGATTTTTTTTTCTTATCAAAAAGACCCAAGCAAGCATTTTGGTCAATGCCCTAATTTCCATTAGAGTGATGGACTAATTGGGCAATCTAACTGGGGCAACCTGGCTCGCACTGGGCGTGTGTAATTAGGTGATCAAGTTCCTCACTTTACCTGTGAGGAAGGTGCGCAGGTGAAGGAGAAAACGTATGGATTCAAATTTAAAGGAAGGACATAGGCAATGTACCGGGCCTTCCACTAATGAATATTCATCACCTCTAGTAATAAAAGTAACAACCAGTATCAAGCGCAGTTGCCACCTGGCAATCTGCCTGCCCAAAAGCCTTTTTGGGTGTACTTCCTTTCTTTCCTATTAAACCTTCCTTTCTACCTACTTCATTCGTGGTTGTGGTTTCATTTTGCGCCCTAGGGACAGATCTCTAATTTTAGTGATCTGGACCCAAAGAACCAAGGATATCACAATGCAACTCGACATTCTCCCATCCGTTAACATTACTTTACTGAGCATAAGAAAATCTTGGGGCATAATTCAATCAAGAGTCTTGAGATAGGAAGACTATTCTGTGTTATCTGAGTGGACCATGTGTAATCAAATGTCTTTATAAGAGAGAAACCAGAGGTCAGAAGGGGAGAAGATGCTACCCTGTTTGCTTTAAAGACAAAAGAAGGTGGATGAGAGCTAAAAGGTGCTGGTGGAGGCAACCTCTAAAGGTGGAAAGAGAAAACAAAGGAACTCTCTGGAAACTCCAGAAGGAACCCAGCCCTGAGGACCCATTTTAGACTTCTGACCTCCAGAACTGTAAGATAACAAATCTGTGTTGTTTAAAGGAAGGGAAAAAGTCTCTAAAGACATCCATGAGAAGAATCTACTCTCCCAGTAAAAGCTTCCCTGTTGTGCTCAGTCACTGGCTGAAGAGGCATTGGTGCAAACACATGGTGGTTTTGGAGCATAGCAGTTGAGACCATCCTCAATTATACTCCTTGTAGTGGATCTGAGAGGAGAATTTTCATGGCCTCCACAGCCTTACCTGGTAGTAAAGTCTGTTTTTTTGTTTTGTTTTGTTTTTGAGAGATATTTTTGTTATAGGTGAATGTGCTTGTCAGAGAGACAGAAGTCAAGAAATCATCCCCCTGTGGGGATGGCCACATCACAATCCCTTCTCCATTCTCCTCCTGGGATTTTGGGCACACACACGTACCCAGCATGATTTTCAAGCCAACAGGTCCAGGACTTGAACCACAGTCAGCCATGTGGGAGTCCAGCACCTTAATCACTATACCATCAGCTGGCCCTGGTCATCAAACCTTAATGAAATAAAAATTTATTTTCTTCAATTCCTCAAATATGCTTCTAGACCCTCGTCCATCCTCTGGTCTCTGCATTTCTCCTTCCACCACATTCTCTATACTACCCTGGCGTCCCCTCCTTCCCTGTCATAGATGTCTCTACTGGGGCGAATCTAGGTCCAGGCAGGCCTTCTCTTGAGCATTCCACCTCAAAGCCTTGCTTCTGCCTGAAACTCAGTTGATTCCAAACCAGACTCCTCATCATCTCCTCAAAGATCCTTCTCACTTCTCTCCCTCCCTCCCTCCTTCCTTCTCTCCTTCCCAACAGTCAGAGCTATTTTGTGGTCTGACAGCTCTCCCAACTGACTCCTGCTTCTTCCTCATTTTCCCTCACAGGAGTTCCCCTAATAAATATTTTGCATATCTAATCCTGTCTTGGCTTCTGCTTCTCCAAGGATCTGGGCTAACATGAGCTTTCAATTAGCCCAAGAGAAGAAACTTTACTTAATATCTCTAGGGTATTTTTCACAGTGCCTGACAGGCAGGCCAAGCATCTCCTTAGGGATTAGGCAATTGCATATGTAAAATGTCTAGGGAAGACCCAGGGAAGGTCCCATCAGGGTTGTGACCCCTGACACTAACTTATGTGACCTTGGCCAAGTCACTTAACCTCCCAGCCCATTAATTTTCTCACTGTGAAATGAGTGATTTGATCTAATGATTTCTACAGTCTCCTCCTATACTGCTATTTCTTGGAATAAAACCAGTTGAGTTTAAGAATGATGTTACCAAGTTAGGTAGGCAAAGGATTTTAATACTCAGAAACAAAGGAGAAGAATAATACCAAAATAACTGAGGGGGGCAATGAGAACAATTTATAAGACTTTCCAGCCTCCACCCCGCTTAGATTTTTTGCATTTTCAGTTTTGGAAAGCATTTGTTAGAAATTATGAACTTATAGTCAAGTATAAAATAAGAATATACTGGCATAAAGTCAGTTGAAGTCTCTTGGATTTCACTTACCTCCATTTTCTGTGAAATATAAAAGGGAATAGAGCAGGTACACTTTTTGTCAAAATTAAAGGCATTTTCCCTCAGTTCTGCACAATCTGCACATTTTCTTGTATAATTAATCTGTCAGGCACAGAAAAAAAACATATTTTTTCCAAAAGTTTTATTTTATTTATTCCATGAGAGAGAGAAACAGAGACACACAGAGAGAGAGAGAGAGAGAGGCACCCTCAAAAGAGTCTTTATACCACAATCCACATCCCATCTCAGGCAGCTCAAATCATTGGCATGTGCATGTGTACTCAGTGTGCTTAATGAGGCCCTGGGTCTTGAACAGAGAGCCTTCCAATGTGCTACCAGTTGTGCCACTGCTGCCCTGCTCCCGGCTCCCAAAAGAATAATTGCTACTATTATTTTGCTAGAGGGTGATGTGCTCATCAGAGAAGAGAGAGAGAAAGTGAAAGCACTGCCCCTCTCCCCACACACCCACCACGAGCTGCAATCTTTTTCCTCCATTTCCTCCTTCATTCAGGATTTTGGGCATGTGCACACACATGTGCTCAGCATGTTCCTCAAACCACGAGATCTGGGATTTGAACCATGAGATTGGCTGTGCAGGATCTGGCTGCCTTAATCACCAAGCCCCCAAAAGATCAATTACTAATTAAAAAGTTACAGTATCTTAAAATTGCAGTCCAGGGGCCAGCAGGTGGCATAGTGGTTGAGGTGCTGGACTCCCACATGGTTGACTATGGTTCAAGTCCCAAACCTGGCAGCTTGAAACTCATGCCGAGCATGTGTATGTGAGTGCTTAAAATCCCAAGAGGAGGATGGAGAATGAATGGAGGCATGGCAAATCCCTTGGAGGGTGATTTCTTGTTTTCTGTCTCTGGTTTGAGTACACACTCCCTATAACAAAAATCTCCCAAACCACCCCTCCTCCCCCAAATTGCTGTCCAGAGTCTTCCAAAGTTCTCAGGCTATCTGGTCAAGGGCATGGATTCTGGAACATTAATAGGCACCTTCCTGTGCAAGGAGAGTGTTGCTGGTGAGATTCAGGAGGAGGAGACCTTCTTACAGAATTTCATGTGGGCACCTGGTACATTGTGCCACTGGCCTGCAGTTCAGGGCTTCTGTTGTGTACTTATGTAATCTGCTGTCAGGAAGCCTTGCCCCTTGATCATGAAGAGGTGTCACTTGGAAGGTATTAGTCAATGACTCATGAGAACTGGGCTCACAGCCTGAGTTCAATCAACTTTATGGGGAAGTCACTTCACTGCTTTTCCATTTTATTGTATGGAAAATATTTATACTAATGAACTATTATTCTACATGGTGTCCAGAGGAAGTTATTAAAAATAACTAGCTATAGAAAAAGTAGTATTCCTAAATGTAAGATAATTCAAATATGCAGAATGATTCTGGTTTATAAATGTCACATCCTGCTTTTTAAAAGTTAAACTGTGAAAAATCGTATGACGGACTCTAAAAAAGGGTAATGTGTCCCAATTGGGTGACTCTGGTGAGCTCTGGCTGAGGCACTTGATTTGCTGAAGACACAACTAGAAAAAGGAGGGAGGCTGAGGCAGGCACAGGGGCTGGGCAGCTTCCTTCCCCTCCAGGGATACTTATCCAGTGCCCAGAGGTTGTTGTGGGGTGCTGCAGGAGGCTCTTTCCACTTTTCTCCCACTAGGTAGGGAAGAAATTAAATTATGAGAGTGTGGAGCAGCAGGGAAGTAAGGGAATGACTTTCTCCTTGGTAAAGTGTCAAAGGGTTGAGGATTCTCTGGGAGAGAAGACTATTATCAGGGACAGAAGGAATTTTGAGTTCTTGCAAAGCCACAGAGGGTTTTCAAGTTCAAAGGCAAAGTATGAAAACTAAAGATTAGTGGAAAGGCTAGTATTTCACTGTACTTAGATGTTTATGTAAATCATTCACTAAATATATGGCAAGGCTTGAACTATTAGTTTAGAAAATATTTATGCTGGAGTCAGCAGGTGGCATGATGGTTAAAAGTGCTGGACTCCCACATGGCTGACCGTGGTTTGAATCCCAGCTGGCTTTCTCACTTTCTCTCTCTCTTTTTCACTCTCATTCTGTCCCTCTCTAGTCAAATTAAAATAAATAAAGTTAAATTATATATGTGTATATATATATATATATGTGTGTATATATATATATATACACACACATATATATATATATATATATGTGTATATATACATACATACATATTGGAGAGATTTTTGTTATAGGGCACATGCACTTACCAGAAAGACAGAGAGAGACAGAGAGACAGAATGTGAGAAATCACCCCTCAGGAGGGATGGTCACACTGCAATCCCTTCTCCCTCATTCTCCTCTTGGGATCTTGGGCGCACATGCACATGAGCCTCGTGTGAGTTTAAACCACCGGGTCTGGGACTCAAACCATAGTTGACCACATGGGAGTCCAACGATATAGCAATTATACCATCTGCTGGTCCCAGTAAAATAATTCTTTAAAAAATACTGTTAAAAAAATGAGAGAAAATATTTATGCCTTCTCCATTTGTTGAACTACCTTCCAATTTATAGAAAGCATTAAACAACAGAGCTGGCCTGGCTGCAGTGGTGCAGTAGTAACACGACACTACAATGCTGGAAGCCATATGGAAATCTGGGTGCAGTTCCTGGGTTGACCTGTACACACTTGACCTATAATCTAACTGGCCAAAAGGCTGGGGAAGGGAATTCATGGCATGATACTGTCAAAGTGCTTGTCTTTCTCTTCTCTTTGTCTATCTCTCTCTCATGACATTTGAATAAATAAACTTAAAGAAAAAGGAATAGAGCTATATCCTGAGAGATAGTATACTGTAATGGAGAAAACTGAGGTTTTAATTAATCGCTCTTTGACCTCATGGTAAGTTCCACATTTTTTTCCACCTGCATCATTTCATGTAACAATTAATTCATCTATCAGGTCTTTCTATTTCATATATATATATATACAGAGAGAGAGAGAGAGAGAGAGAGAGAGAGAGAGAGAGAGAGAGGTTCTTGCTATAGGGTGCATGCGCTCACCAGAAAGACAGAGTGAGACAGAGAGACAGCGCAAAATCAAAATCACACCCCCCCCGGGGGGATGGCCATGCTGCAGTTGCTTCTCCTCCATTCTCCTCTCGGGATCTTGGGCATGCACGCACACACACCTGGTGTGAGTTTAAGCCACCAGGTCTGGGACTCAAACTGCGGTCAACTACATGGGAGTCCAGCAACATGGCCATTACGCCAACTGCTGGTCCTTCATTAGTATATATTTTATTTCATGGATTCTTGCTGTGACTTCTAACCATGAAGAGTTAGAAAATTGTATTTCATAATCATCTCTGTTTTGGATAGATGATATTTTTGGTGCTTTCTAGATTTAAACATTTGATGAAGAAAACATATCCCTGATCTACGATCCACATAATAGCAGCAGCCTCAACTTTGCTGAGTGACCCTGAAAGCCTATAGCTATAATATGGATCAAGTATCATAGTCTGCTTCTCCTAGAATTTGGATGAGATAGGAATTACTATTCCTGCTTACAGTGGACTGTAAGGAGAGCACCTCCTTGCTATACCTCGGGCCTGAGTCAGACGAGGAAAGGGCAACTCAGAATGCTTTTCTACTCTTTCAGTGTTTGATCACACTGGTTGAGAGTGTGCACTTGATTTCATCCTCCAACATAAGGAGACTTTTCTATGTGCAAAAGGAGATCATACTGAGTGGTTCCTTGTATAAAAGAAAATATTAGAAGCAAATCCCAGACTATCTGAAGCAACTTAAAAAAAAAAAAGTCAGTTGAGGAATACTCTTACACTCCAAAAGATAAAAATATTCTGTCTATAGTCATTTGAAGAATGGCCTTAGCCGATACTCTGTGGTGGAGTTGGGTCACCCTCTCACGAACAAGGTAACTTCATTCAGCAATAGCTACCTCTCAGTGAAAGCTGGATGCCACAAAGAGTGAAGGTGGGTAACTAGAAGGGAGGGAGCAATGATGTCATGGGAATAGAGGAAGATCAGAAAGAAAGAAAATCCTAGAAAAATAGAGTGGATGGGCTGCTTGTGGAAGCGAATGTTGACCTTGTAGGCCCATTGCTTTGCCATCCCCTTCAGCAAGGCAAGTTTCATTTCCTCCTGACAATTTGCCTCTGCCACCTGGTGGGACCTTGTAGGGGGCTCTGTTTCACACTGGAGGATCCAAAAGGATTGAGGGGAACTTAATTCCCTGGGGGGAAAAACTGCTGGGACCTGGGGTGGGGGGCAGAAAATAGAAGTGGAGGACGACAGAATGGTGGATGTTGGGCGGAGGAGCAGGACCTGAAATGCCATTTTCTGTTTGAAATCTGCACTGTTTGCTCTAACATGTCCTTTCAATCTGCAATGTGCAAGGGAGGGATTGGGAATCCAGTGAACAGGACAGCCATGGCAAGGTCTTTGTTCTTAACACATTCTATTTCTATCATCAGCTCATTGAGTGCAGGGATCCACTCTTACTCACCGTACCCCTCTGCATATCCCACAGACTTTAGGCACCTCCAGACACTCCTAAGTGTTAAATCAATGCTGACAGATTTGGCCTTCATCATAATTTTGCTGGTAGCGATGTGGGGAGAGGGAAAGATCAGCTTTCCCTGGTTGCTTTCTGAATGGAGGTTACGTGGTCTGCAATGTCTGGAAATCTGCTCAGAGCTGACTTGGATGAAACATGTATTTAATTCATTAGAGTGAAACCGGTCATGGCGGATCAAGCCTCAGACCAGTTCTCATTCCCCCTCCCTAGACCAGTTTCTGGGATTCTCATTCTCTAACTGCTTCTTAAAGTAGCAACAGGCTTACACCTGAGGGATGTGCTCTTAGCATCGGCTTTTCCCACCTGAATATACTCTAGTTTATCTTGCTGAGTAATCTTAAGATGCCAGAAATATCTGGACTCTTGAAGAGGGAGTTCACTTGTGAAGGGAAAGACCCAATGTTTGAAAATGGAGCACAATGAGGGCCTGCACCTTTGGCTCCTCACTCTGTATTATCAGTATGGTTCATGGGTACCTGGCAGTCACTTAGCCTTGCCTCTTCTTCTCTCAAACCACCTCTATTTGTGGCTCATTCCTTCCTCTGCCAAGTGAAAAGCTCTGACTGCCAGGATGTTACACACAAATATGGCTGAGCTGACCAGCATGAGAGTGATCGTCCTCCAGGGGAGTAGGGAATGAAGACATATACTCGTACGTGGGCTCTGTTGCCATGCGTGCCTGCCTGCTGAAGGAGGAATGTTCCACCTCACCTAGTGCCCTGTGGAGTGACTGTGTTCTCAAACTGACCACTCCGTTGATTGTCCCCATGCCGAAAATTCCTACAGGCTGCATTAAAAATGTAAAGTGGGGACCAGCAGGTGGTGTAATGGTTATGTTGCTGGAATCCTAAGTAGTCAATCATGATTCGAGCCCTCGACTCAGCGGCTTAAAACTCACGCTGGGCATGTGTGCATGTATGAATGGAGAAGAGATTGTGGCATGGCCATCCCCTCCTGTGGGGTGGTTTCTCACTTTCTGTTTCTCTCTGTCCCTCTGATGAGCACACATGCCCCATAGCAAAAATCTCTCTTTAAAAAAAAGTAAGGTAGGACCAACCTCTATTTCCCTGTTGCCCTTGGCAGACCATAAAAGGGTGATGCCTATGCAGAGGCAGAACAATCCTGTGGCAGAAAAGATAAAGATGACTTTCCTGGCTGAGAAATGTAGCTTCTGGGCAGGTAGTTCTTGCTGCTTCACGGCAGTGTTGTCTGGCAATCTGGACAGGTCAGATGGGAGTACCTTCCCCATTTTGGTTCTGCAGGTAAGTCAGATATACTTTTGGAATATTTAGAACATTCCTAGTCATAGTCATTTCACATAATGGCAATGATAAATGAAGAATTAAGTAACTCTTTATTTGAATGTGCAGTCTTTTGCTTCCTGGGATTCTTTCTTTCTTTTTTTTTTGGAGAGGTTTTTGCTATAGGGTGCGTGCGCTTGCCAGCCAGACAGACAGAGACAGAGAGACAGAAAGCGAGAAATCACCCCCTGGGGGGATGGTCACGCCACAATCCCTTCTCCTCCATTCTCCTCTCGGGATCTTGGGCACGCATACACGCCTGGCGTGAGTTTAAGCGGGTCCGGGACGTGAACCGCGGTCGACTACATGGGAGTCCAGCGACATAGCCATTATGCTAACTGCTGGTCCCCCTGGGATTATTTCTTAACCAGGCGTGACATTCAGCAGTAGCACACTCTTCAGAGAGCCATTGCAAGGTTCCCCATGGAAACTTCAAAAAAAGTCATAGAAATATGATATTAAAGTACAAGTTTATTTTGGTGTAAAAAACCCCTGAAATCTGTGCAGGTTTTTTTCCCCAGTAATACACATTTTTCATGAACTGTTTGAAGATCCCCTGGTATTTTACTTAGGCGAAAAAGGCCCGTCTGCTAAATGCCATACAATAGTAGGGCTGGGCAAGGTCTGTAAAAACCAGCATCTGGCGACACTGGGAAGCAGTCACGATGGGCTATTTTGGGGATTCAATGACTAATTTAAGGCGAGCCCTTCCTGGAAGGATAAAGAGGACTTATCTGTAGGATCTTGCCTAAATTCTTGAAGAGTAATAAAAAATTAAGTAGAAGCTAAGGCTGTCAGCTTTTATCCAAATGTGGCTGTTGCCTAACATGAATATAGACCATGTAGGAAAAATGTTCTCAGCTTACAGCTAATTTTGCTATTTGTGATAATGACAAAGGGAGAAGCAAACTGACAGTTGAAGAACACAGATGTCTAATCTCAGCAGCTTCCAAACTTTTTTTAACCCATAAGAAACGTTCTAGTAGAAATGTAAATTAAAAACATCTCCCACCTTCTCCCAGGTGTTGGGTCATTGGACAAGTCATGACATACAGAAAAATACGTCATGACTTGTCCGACAACCCAATACATGCTTTGGAGTAACCCATATGAGGCAAGAGAAAGGAAGAAGAAGATAATCAATTAGATATTCAATATTGCAATATAGTATTAAGTTCAATTTTCTTTTTCTTTCTTTTTTTTTTTCTCACTTGTTAGAAATCTACTAATAGGCCCCACCAGGTGGTGTGGTGGTTAAAGCAGCTGGATCTCACATGGCCAATTGTGCAGGTCGGGTCCTGGACCTGGCCACTTGAAAAACATGTTTGGTGCATGTGCATGCATGCCCCAAATCCTGAGAAGAGAATGGAGAGAGGATCACAGTGTGGTAATTTCTCCTGGGGAGTGAGTTCTCAATTTCCCTTTCTCTTGGGTGAGTGCATATACTTACTCTGTATCAAATACTACTACTACTACTAAAATATCCACTAATATCATTTCAGTTAATAGTCAATAAATACTTTTTTAAAATGGGCATTTATGGCATGGAAATAGGACTTTTGAAATTAGGCAGCTTTTTTTGTTAACATTAGTCAGAGAAGCCATGCCAGACTTTGATATTTTTATATCAAAGAAAGTAATGTGTTTGGCAAATATATCTATTTTAAAAGAATATAAAATAAATGGAAATACTTACACTAGGAGGTTTCCAATTCAGGGTCAAAGTTTCTCACTTTCAAAACTGAAAAAAATTGCAAAATACCAATAGGAAGTTTTCATCATGCCATGAATCCTATTTGAAATGGTGACTGATACATCTGTTGATATCAGCCCATATGAGAAGATGACAGCTAACACTTCTAGTTAGCATCTACTATTTGTTTTAATAAACAAACATGGTCAAGAGTTGGGGTTTAAAAGGCAGTTGCTGGCTATGAGGTTAGATCCTAAGTGTAGGGATGACCTACAAAATATCAGACATATCTGGTAAAATGTAACACCATTTTTGCTTCAAGACTATTTTAATTATTAAACATGGCAGACTATGTACATAAGTGAAAGCTGTAAATATACGTTCTAACACTGATTGGGATTATACTACGTAGATATTATCGGAAGAATCATGGCACTAACAAACCAGAAAGAATAGTATTTCTTAGACTATTCATAAAACAACAAAACCAAACTAAACAAATCCTAAACTAAAAGGAGCTTCACAGGTATTATATTAGTCAGGATTCTACAGAGAAACAAAACTAACAGGAGATTATATGTTTATATATGTATATTGTAAGAAATTGGCTCACATGATTATGAAGGCTGATCTGTCCCAGATCTACAGAGCCAGTGTCCTAGTTGAAGTCTGAAGGCCAACAGACTGCTGTAGAACCAGGAAGAGACAATATTTCAGTTAGAAGGCCCTCAGGCAGAATTCTCTTGGGGGATGGGAAGGTGGGAGGTGCAGAAAGGAGGAAGGGACCAGTCTTTAGTTCCATTCAGGCTTCCACCTGACCGGATAAGACTCACTCATAAGGACTGGCAGGTGGCATAGTGGTTGGCGTGCTGGATTCCCATATCTGCACACCACAGGTCAAGCCCTGAACCTGGTGACTTGCTTTCTCACTTTCAATCTCTCTAATCAAATTAAAATACTACTACTAATAATAAATAAAATTAAATAATTCTTAAAAAAAAAAGACCCACTTACATTGTGGAACCTATCTGTTTTACTCAAATTCACTAATTCAACCATTAATCTCATCCAAAAACGCTCTCACAGAAATGCCTGAAATAATGTTTGTACAACTATCCAGGTACCATATGGCCTGGCCAAGTAGACACATTAGCTATCACAGATAGTTAAGTGCAAACACTTCTGGGGCAATAGTCTTGAGAAACAGCCAGATATACATAGAACCTTTAAGAGGCTCATGGAAAATATGTATTATAAAAAAAACTATACATGAATTTCAAAAATTATTATGCTACCAAAATTAACTCATACTTTAATTCAATTTTCCACAAACTTTTTGAACTCCTCTTACACATTTTAGACAGTGTAAATAGGTGCGCAGTGCTGAGACTCTATTTTCACCTATTTCTCTTCTCTAATAAAACTACTTTTTCTTTCTTCTAGATAAAACTACTTTAAATGTGCAAATATACTTCACATGCTTTGCTTTTCAGTATTTCTAGAACAGAGTTCGTCAACGTCAGCACTATTGACATTTTGGACCAGACATTACTTCTTTGTGGGCGCTGTCCTGTAGGACTGTGGAATGCTTAGTTGTATCCCTGGTCATTATCCACAAATGGCAATCACAGGCTCCCAACTAGCTGTCAGCAGTAGCCTCTCCAACCCCCAGAATTATGACATCCAAATTTATCTCCAGACATTGCAAAATTGCCTATTGGCAAACCGCTGTTCTAAACTGATGCTCATATGGCAATTTGTTAGCAGCTGTTATGTTGTATCCTTAGAAATTTCAAGTAATTAAAACATTTTTTTTTTACGAGGGAAAGAGATAAAGATTTTTGACAGGATCTGATCATACCATAATCCCGCTTCAGCCTCCCACATCTCTAGGGTCCCAGGCATTTGTCACTGTGTCTGGCCTATTGAGGTCCAGTGGGGAACCAAACCCAGGCCTCCACGTGGCCTCAACTTCCCAGCAGCAGAATCTCAGCACTGTGCACCAGGGCAGCTGAGCCCAGAAAGTGATCTTTTTAGATTCTTGCCTTCATTTTCCTTTAACCATGGTGTAGATAGCCTTCACATACTACCAGAGGTTATGTATATTGGGGCTGCCTTATAGCTCACTTGTGACTTTCTATTAACTGTTGGCATGCAAATATACTATGAGTAGGGAATCAGAAGTGGTCATATGTGTGAGGAGTGCTCACACACAATGTTTATTATGGTCTCGCTCTCTCTCTTTTTGGCAAGTCAATAGAGGTTGGTGAATTGGTCTGAAGTTGGGCAGCACAAGCTGCAAGGTCTTAATTTGCTTATCTGTCCTCTTACACAATTATGTTTGATGGCTGTTTCCAGACTCACTAAAGTCACGTCCCTTGACAGGAAGTTAAATGCTTGCGTACTGGGGAGGTGTGCGATCCATTTTCTTTATTACCATCATCCAAGTTCATCTTGTGCAATAGGGTTAAGGGGATGAAAATAATAGGGTTCAGTTTAGCTGTATCTTGATTGAATTTTCATTCTGTATTGGCTTTTTCTTCTCCCTTGACCGTGAGCTTTAGTCAGGATCCTAGGGAATAGAACCTACTCCTCTTTCCTCTGTGAGCTCCCACATGTGGTTTTCACAGAGGTGCATAAGCAGAAAGTCGTTGGTGTGCAGGGGTGTGCGATTTGCTAGTGTTTTGTTTTTTTGTTTTTCCCTTTGTAGCCTGTCAAGTTCATTTAAAAATCTGCAAAAGCAGTATTTTATAAATCAGAACTGACATCTCTTTGCTTTACTCCTTCACTTGCTGTATATGCCTGAGAATCTAAACAGACAACTTGGTGTCCTGAAGTGAATGTGGGAGTCCTGGGTTTGACTTCTGGTTCTGCTGTTTACACTAGCATGTGTCCCTTCTGAGATTCCATTTCAGTGTCTGTAAAATCTGAGTAACACCATGTTTGCTTCCAGACTATTTTAATGATTAACCATGACAGGCTATACATAAGTGAGAGCTGTAAACACAATGCCTGGCCCAGTGTTTAAGTTAGTGAAGAAAGACATTAAAAGGAGTAAGAAAAGTTAAGTGAATCTGAATGAGAAAGTTGAAAACAGTCTTGCATTATAACCTAGGATATAAAATAAATAATTGAACAAGCGGGGGAAAGAGAGAGCACTTTAGTACAGAGAAATTCCAATGAGTAAATGTCAAAATAGAGAAATCACTCCAGTAATAACTGTTGCAGGCAAGAACCAACAATGGTTCCTGAAATTTGTGGGCAAAAGTTTGAGGAAAGCCAGAAATTTACATGGTGTCTAAGTATTTCCCTCAAAATAGTCGTTACAAAGGGGACAATGGTAGTGTGGGAGAGAACAGGGGCAGAGGCTACTTAAACCAATGATCAAAGTCGAGGTCAACACC